AATAAAATAAAAAAACCATTAGTGTTTTAAACTTTATTATTTAAGCTCAATTAAAATAGTTGCGGGGTAGTTAACTGTTGTTCTTATTCCTTTTATATCGTTTTAAAATGTGGAATTTAACCATACCATATCGATTCTATTAGCCACAAGTGCGTATTGAAAAGTTAAAAGTCTTTTTTTCAATTTTTTTTTAAATAAAAAATTGCCTTAAATTTTTTTTTTTTTTTTGAGGGGGGAGGGTGGGTTAAAATTATTTTTAAGTTATAAAAAGTACTTTTCTAATATCCTTGAGCGTAATTATAAGTTTTAAAGGAGGAAAAAAAAAAAAAATTGGGGGAGGGGCGAAGAGGGGGAAGGGGGCTCAAAATTATTTTCACGTTGTAAAAAATAATTTTCTAACATCCTTGAGCTTAATTATGATTTTTAAACAAAAAAAAAAAAAAAAGGGCCATTTCATGTAAGTTGGACATACTCCTTTATTTAATGGGTTAGAGGTGATTAAACCTGAACCTCATATCGAGCTAAAGAATGACTCAAATTCTGTTATTCATCCTCTAAGGAAAACTCCTGTTACTTTGAGAGATAAAATTAAAACTGAATTGAATGAAATGAAAAAAACTGGAGTAATAACAAGTAGGCGCGGATGCAGCTTTTTTTGATGTTTTTTTCTTAATTTGTTGGATCTTCTGAGAGTAGTTTATATGTGTTTTTAAACAAGAGTAGATGAGCAAACAAAATAGGTAAACTCACTCGTAGGCGTGGAAAAACCAAGCAGACAACTAAGACTCTATCTGGATCCAAGAGACTTTTGTGGAAACTGATATCGATGATATTCTAATATGGGGGCACTAAAGATATAAATCAGGATGAAAATCTTATAAAATGCTTAGAACGTGCTGAAAAGGTGGGATTGACCCTAAACATCAAAAAATGCCATTTTTGAACAAAGGAGTTGATGTGCTTAGGACACAAATTATAAATAAATGAAATATAACCAGATGAGTCAAAAATGTTTTTTTTTTTTTAAGGAATTTACCAACATAGTCGAAATTATGTTGGTAAACTCCTAACTAATTTATTGGAAAATGCGAAACCATTTCAGAATCTAATAAAAAAAAAAGGAATACAGATGCAATGGGGCAAAGCACAAGATCAATCTTTTCATAAAATTAAAAAAACTAATATGTTCTGAACAATGTCTTTTATTTTATGACATCAATAAACCTGAGACATTACAAGTAGACGCATGCAAAACTGGTATTGGAACTGTACTATTTAAAAACGAAAAGCAAATAGCATTTGCATCAAGGTCAATAACACCAGCTCAGTTAAGTTATGCAATCATTGAAAAAGAACTTCTCGCTGTACTTTTTGGATGTGAGCGATTTCACCAATATATATTTGGAAAAAAGTCAAAGTTAACAGTGATCACAAGCCGTTGAAAAATATTATGAAGAAAGCGTTAGTAAACTCTCCACCGCATCTTCAGAAGATGTTATTTAAGTTACAAAAGTATGACATTGATTAAATTTATAAAGCTGGTAAAAAAATAATTTCGGCAATAAGAACGGAAGAAGAAATGATTGCCCAATTGCATATGTTCTATGCAAACTGTTCATCATGAGAAGAAAATCTCAAAGAAATAAAAATAAATACACTCAAAGATATTACGTTAAATGTTGTAGCGAATTACATACCAAATGGATAATTAGAGGATCAAAGAATGGTTGACAACTCAATACCATTGATCTGTACATTCTCTACTAGAGATAAAAAAAACTACGGTTGACGGTTTTGAATAACCTGCTCAACTCATCAGTGGAAGAAGATTGAGATCAACACTTCCAACTCTGGACAATAATTTCTAACAGTTGTTCAAAATAACGATTAGCGATTGCGGAATAAGTAATTCCTTTTAAAGAATTAAACGGAAAATGATTGCTAAAATATTTCCTAAAGGACTGGGCACAAGGAATTATCACTTAAAAGCTGTAGCGTTAAACTCAATGTGGGTTAAAAGAAGGACACGAGAAGACTACACACAATTAACATAATAATTAGTAGTAACAATTTAATATTTAGATATAGAAATAAATATAAAACAAGTATTAAAGCAATTTTATTTCAAATTTTATAAATAAGAAGATGAAACATTACAAACGGAACCCGTTTATTTTTTGGAGCTTGGTAGCAATCTTTAAAAATTATTTTACTATATAGGGGAAAGGCGCTTATGATGGCATACTTTACTTTGAAGCTTCATTGTTCAGTATCCTGAAGACCAAGAACAAAAGTTTTGATATGGATACATTCCTTGTTACAAGTAGAACAATAATAACCCTAGGAGTTTTGATCAGTTTTATTTTTATATTAAATATTCTTTTTTTAAAAAAAAACACAAGTTTACCATCATAGGCAACTACTGCTCCTATGATGACATAGGGGAGGATGAGGTTGGTTAGCATCAAGGGTAACTTGAAGATTTCATTTAACCTTAGAGTCTTCCCTTAGAAATGCCAGAAATTATGCGTAATCATCATAATTTACCTTTTTATGCTACACAACAGCAGTGTTGAACTTCGCGCATGCGTATAAAAGATATTGCATTTTTGAACCAAAAAATTTTTAGTGAAGAAAAAAATCCTCTTTACTTAACTAACAAATATGTTGTTTTTATAAAAAAAAGATTTTCCCAACTCGTCAATATTACAACACACCTAACTCGTCAGTATGCCATTATACGAAAAAGTCATCATTTTTATTTAAACAAGCTATGTCTGCCTTGTTTAAAAGATAAAGTTAAAATAAGTATTCCACTAAATGCACAAAACTCGGAAATAAAATGCATGAACATTTCATTTTTGCACAGTTAATAATAAAATCACAATCTTAAATACATAAAGGGATTAAAAATACAACAGCGCATCCAAAAATCGATTTTTGTTGATTATAAAAGCAATATTTGTGCATAAGGGACGTGTTTTTACTAAAAATAAATTTGAAGTCAGTATAAACATGTAGGTCTAATCACATTTTTCGCCATAACTAATATTTATGAAAATATGACCAGTATGCCATCATACGGGCTATGCCATCATAGGCGCCTTTCCCCTACTATTTAAATAGAGGTAAACACATTTAGGGCATTAATTCAAAAAACAACATTTTTGAAAAATGACTGAAATATATATATATATATATATATATATATATATATATATATATATATATATATATATATATATATATATATATATATATATATATATATATATATATATATATATATATATATATATATATATATATATATATATATATATATATATATACATATATATATACATATATATATATATATATATATATATATATATATATATATATATATATATACATATATATATATATATATATATATATATATATATATATATATATATATATATATATATATATATATATATATATATTAATAATAATTAAGGCACAAAACGTGCAATGTATTAATTTAATTTAAACATTTTATGTTTATTTGTGAATCATTTATGGATATTGGAATATAGGTAAATAAAAGTTTTGACTTTTTAACAACTTATTAATGATAGGAAACCATTCTTGACTGGATACAAACGCAACCAAAGTTTATAATTGGAAAATCTATGATTATACTTGCCTTTAGAAAGTGTTTGATTAATAAAACTATATAGAATTCAATCAAATTCTGAAACTTATTTAATCAGTACTAAACCAACTATACTTTATTTTACTCATTTTATCGTATTCGGTATTTTACTCTTTTATTTTATCTCATTCGGATTAGCAAGTTTTACTCAAAACTAGACAGAAATACAATTTTACGATATTTTTCTAAAGATAACGCAATTAAGAAATATGATATTAAATTCGGGAGATTAACGTTATAAACATATTTTTTCAAGCGGTATTTTTTAAATTTTTTCTTTATGTTGAATATTATTTTAATCTGCATTTATTAGACGAAAACAGTATTTAAATAGATCTTTAATAACTTATTGTTAGATTGCTATAAAACGCAATACTTTTACAATATGGAGATAAATGCACACTGTTATAAAACTGCTAGTGATTACATTAGCCGTTGTGTTTTCCATAACTGTCTCAATAACATTATTTTGGTGGTTTTTTATATTAAGATATTTTTTTTATTAAGGCCACTCTGCTTTAATAATCTTCCATTTAAAAGTGATTTTATTTTCAATTGCTAAGTTGCTAGATTTTTTTATTTTTATTTAAAAATATTTCTTTAAATTTAGAACTTTAATATTTCTTACTATATTTTGAAAGTCTGAAACGAACTTTTGAGCTGCAGCTTTATCTACAACTATTATCGATGTTTAAAAAATTTTAACTTTCAGTATCCATTGTAAAGCTCGGGTTTTAAAATTAACTGTGTAAACTTATTTGATTAGTAGAGTGGTTTATCATAAACTTTTGTATTTTTTACCAGAAAAGAACAACTCGCTTTAATCGGCATCTTTAAAACACAATTTAAATTACTGAAAATGTTGCTTCTACAACCTTTTCTACCTCAGATAATAGTACTGAGAACCATGGTACCACATACACCACCTGCGCGATTGTTATGTTTATTTAAATAAAATATAGGTTTCAAAAAATTTTTAATATAACTTAACTTTTTTTTTTTTGAAAAGTGACACGCATATAACTCTAGGTCCGTGTACTGCTTATTTACAAAAATAATAACCTTTAATTAAATATAAGAAAAAGTCGATTAAATATTTCTTAATAATGTTAAATATTAGACTGTACTCGCTGATTTCATGCTATTAAATCAATTTAATTATGGAAAAATCCGCATCTGAAAAAATGCGGATTTTTATAAAATATTCATTGTCTTACCGTCTAAGTAAAACAATAGATATTATAACTTGCAGATATTTTTTGCTAAGATAATCCTAAAGACTTTATTGTTAAATTAAAAATTAATCATGGGTCAATGAAAATAAGAAAGCGATAAATGAAACTTTATATGTTTTTTAAACTAATATCTATTCTTGATTTTAAGAATTATTAGCGCACAGTAAGATTTTAAAAAATATAACGTAAGTTTTCTTAATACGAAAAAACAGCACTGTATAGAAACTAAAGTCATTGTTTCCGAAAAACTCTATCAGATACTTAGTATACCGTTTTATATTTAAAAAGATGACAAGTCAAAACTCAAAAACATACGAAAGTTTTTCAATAAAACCGCGTAAGTAAATTTTTTTAATGTTATAGTGATATGTTTAAATTATGCAAGACAATTATATGTTACAGCTTTATTTATTCAAGTGCTTAGATATAACAAAACAGCAAAAACAGTAGAAGTAAAACGATCATCGTCGGATGTTCAAGCTTGCTTTTCAAAACTCTTTGATATTGAAGAAAACTTTAGTTATTTTTCTGGGCATATTCTAAAAGCAAGATTGTTAACAAAACTGCCGCAAACTTTAACACTTAATGTCGGAGATAGGCTAAAGCTTGTATGTTTAGAAAACGCTTTATTTCCTACTGAAATTAGATGGTATTTGAACGACGCCGTATTATACCCGACAAAAGACGGTAGAGTCATGTTTGAAAACAACAAACGTGAATTAAGAATTACGGCAGTCAACAGAAAAGATGCTGGAAATATTACATGTTTTGTTCAAAACAGATTTGGAATAGACTCAACAACATGCGTTCTTCATATTAAGTAATGAAATAATTTTCTCTTTATTAATCTATATATTTCTATTAAATAATAGCAAACCTACTATAGACATTTTTCTGGAAAATTACTTCAACGATAATTATAGATATATAACAATTATATCAGCTTTTTTACAAAACATTTTTTAAAATCTTGTGAATGCGTTACTACAAAATATTACTTTCACGAGGAGTCTTACAAAAATAAATAATTTTTCTTAAAGAGAAAAAGATTATTAAAATAGAAATAAACTTTAAAAACTTTTTATAGAGTATTAAGTTAATATTAAGTTTGCTATTATTGAATCTATTATTCTATTTCATTTAAAGCCTTTATATTTTATCTGCATACAATATTACTTTTGATTATACAGTTGATTAAATGATTTTATCATTTATACGAGACGTTAAATATTCTCCTTCTAAATTGGTCTTTTTTCTCATGTTTATTTTATTATCAGCCTATTATCTTTAGAGTTTTTAAATGAAAAGCCGACAGGTCGAGATTATTCTCAGCATATTTCTTTCCACAATGGTAGTTTCAATATTAATATAATAATAGAAGGTATATCTTCTTCTTGATAATTTGGAAAAATACTAATTTAAACGGAGCATTCCCCTTTCTAAAATATTTTAAGTTTTATATTAAAAACACAATAATCTTTAACAAAACAAAAATTACAAAACCTTTTTTTGTTTGAATAATATAAATGTTCTCTTAATAAGTTTGGAAATGAAAAAACAACGATATAATCATGAGTTTGAGTTGCGTATCTTTTTTATTTGTTTTAAACAAAAATATATTAATACTTAAATATTTTTTTAATTGATTTTACTGTAAAGTTTCATACCAATGCGTAATTTATTATATAAAGCTTCTTATATATTCTTATTTGTTTCTGTATGTAAAACAAGTATATTGGGATTAGAAAGTCGTAACTATAAAAAATTACTAATTAAATAAATCATGCATTACACTTTATTAAGAAAATTATGTGAATCTGTACTCAATGTATATTTGTTATAATAAATTTTTTATCTTTGTTGTTTGATAAAGTATAACATATATTTATAGCAACCCTATCTAAAAGGTTATTCTTGCAAATATTTCAAATGTTTACCTGCTGAGTAACGTATTTTTATTTGTTTAGACAAAAATATATTAATATTTAGATATTATTCTATTATATTAAATAATGTTGTAATAATATAATATATAATGTATAATATTACCTTATATATAAACAATTAAAAATAAAAACAACCATAAAAAAACCTCAACAACTCATTCGAAAGAAGCAATTAAAAACAGTTTATTTTTTAAATAATCTAGTTTTAGCAGTCCGTGTAATGTGTGCTTTAAAGTATAAAGATGTCAAGAAAAAAAAAAAATAATAAAAAGTAAAACTCCTTATCTTCATACCCCTTACAAAACACACATATAAAATAAGCGTTTAAAAGTTTTTACTTTTAAAAAGTTTAGTTAATCAAGACTTAGGAACTACTTAAAACGTAAAACACAAACGACGAACTGTGTTGATAATAGAACTTGTCATGTTCACAAAATATTTTTCATCATTAAAGATATGACTAGAGTGCCAGTAGCGTAGCCAGGATCTTTTGACGTTATAGATATGACACTTTCAGGGATGCGCAAACTGCTAGCTTAAGTATGTTCATACATATGTCAAATTATACTGTTTTGTAAAAAAACGCGGTGATTGAAGTCTGGAAATAAAAATGCCCTAAAAGGTTTGCTATCCCACCCCAAAGTGAGGACAATGAGTTAATAGAATTCAACTTTCAGCTAATTTCAAACAAATTTTAATTTTATCGCAAGGTTTTAAATTTCATATAAAAAAGCCCCAAATTTTTGCCTTTACGTCCCAAAAATAAGAGAACTGTAAAATATATTTTCTTTACAATTCTCAACTAAATCAATATTCATCGATAAGTTATAAATTCCATAGAACAATCTCAAAGTGTTCAAAAATTATGACTACATAAAATTTTTATAAACCATTTAAAATTTGAGCCAAAATTTAAATGGTCAAATTAAACTTTATAAGGTCATAATTATTTGCAACTTTGTTGCTTAGCTTACTACTTTTTTTGTCGCTTTTGTCTATCTTGACTTTTAGTCCTTGTCATTATTAAAAAATGCTTTAAACTGATCATCATAAGCAATTATATGCAACCTTCTATAGGAAATAGGTTTTTGTTGAACGATCAAGCCGCGAAAGCTATTCTAAACTCATATACTTTTTTCGTTTATGCGATAAAAAAGGATGAAAAATTGCATTAAGTCGCGCTCAACCTTTTTATAAAAATAAACTCACAATAAATCTCCCAAACAACTCGCTCTATAAAAACGACAGCGCCACAATTATTATATTATAAAAAGATTTTGATGCGGTCGATCACCACATTTAATTTATAAATTTAAATGCTATGGAATAAAAAGTAAAGTTTTTAAAACAGTTAAAGTTTACGTGTCAAATCGAAAACAGTATGCTGCATGTGATGATGGTTATCAAACCAATATAATCTCGGGAGAGCCACAAACATAATAAAATTTCGGGAGCACCACAAGGTTCTTGAACTAATCCCTTTCCTAAGTTATATAAACAATTTAAATAAAGACTAAAAACTAATAAGAGTTACGTTTGTTAATTTTTATAGTTTTATAATTGTGAGAGTTTTTTGAACTCCTTAGCAGTAATACCTTCAAGCTCTTTAAAACATTAAACAAAGAACTCAGACAAATCTCTAGTTAAATAAAATATAGTAAATTATTTTTTAACACTAATAAATTAAAGCGATTCCGTTCTTTATCGACATTATCTTTATCCTTATCGAAAAAAATTGAAAAATAAAAGTTATGCCATAAAATACTTATTTATTGTGATAAAAACACCTGGAATCATCATATCGGTTAAGAAATTATCATTGTGGTTAAGGAATCGTCGTATCGGTTATATGAAAACACAGAAATTTCTAAAAGCTTAAGAATTCGATATAAAGGATAAATCTACCTTTGTAAAAAAGTTTAAACCAATTATAAAATAGTTTAAAACAATTATTAGTACATGAATACTTATTTAAGTTATGCGAGTACTGCCTGTTGCGACGTTTTTATTGCAATTCCGTATAACTTTACAAATTGCTTTTATTACATTATTTAATTAAAATATGAAATTTAAGTATAGGAGCGAAATGTATTTAGTGTTTTATATAAAAAACCTATATATTAAAAATCCTAGCAATTAATACAATTGAGAAAATGTAATTATTGAGATTAGTTTTTTAAAGTTAATCATTTAGGCAAGCAAACTTTAATTAGGTATCTAGCGCTATACCTTATTATTATATCAACAATCATATATATATCAACAATCTGGCACTATAACTTAGTTTCGTATACATTTACTATCGGGCGCTATACCCTATTAATATATATATTTACTTTCGGGCGTTATACCTTATTATTATATATATTTACTATCGGGCACTATACCTTATTATTATATATTTACTATCAGGCGCTAAACCTTATTATTATATATATTTACAATCGGGCGCTAAACCTTATTATTATATATATTTACAATCGGGCGCTATACATTTGGAATAAAAGTTAAACTAAATTTCACTTCAAACTAATTACTTTTTACTTATTTAAAAATAAACTAAAAAATATCATTTTTTCGTAAGTAATGGTTGACCCAATAGATGACTTATTGATAAGTCATTATAATAAAAGCATTAAGACATTATTAGATATATATTGGATATATTCATCTATTAGGCTGGCCCAGATGTATTTTTAATAAATTGTTTCCAGTTTAGGCTGGATCTTCTTGACTCAATGCAAGGGTTTTGCTTGTGTCTCTGTTTTTATGACAAGGCAACTCATTCTATTATTTCTTAATGAGAGTGCAGCTCTAAAAGTCATTTTTATTGTTCTGGGGCCAGCTGGTAGTCGGGTTTCCCGAACTTTGTGGTAGCTCTCAGAGAGGCTGATTCCATCAATAGCTGACAGATATCAGAGTGCTAATAGTGCTATGTTGCGCAGGGATGGTGTCCCTGCTCGTATTTTCGGTGTGCATTGTTGAGGCCACATTTGAAGTCACCTGTTAGCCCATAGGGTTTATTAATAGTAATGACTAATTACTGAAATTGAAACAACTGCTTGGACTACTAAATAGTGTACTGAGTACTATCTATGGTTTGAGTCAAGTTCTTTAAAAAATTTAAAATGACTAAAGTACCAAAAACTATAAAACACAAAAAATCATTGTCATCACTAAGTTCTCTAAATCTATCATTTGTGGCCTTCGAAGAAACTTTTCTTCTGTTGATTCTTATCTCTTGCAAAGTTCACAAGACTTACTTGCTCTTTTTGAGACTAATTTGAGTTCAACTGTCTCATCTTGTGATCTTAGTGTTGATGATTATCTTCTTTTGATTCGTAAAGACTCCAATAGTCACATGCTTGGCCCGGGCATTTACATTTGTAAGAATTCACCCATTTGTCGGGAAACTAGGTTTAAATTCACAGACTATTCTTTTATGTGTTTTTGTTTAGCACCACTTCACTCTATCGTCTTTCTCTTTGTTTTATATTGCTTTCATTCATTTCAAGACTGCACTCTTTTCGATGTTATTTCTGATCAAATTAACCAAGCCTTCTCTCTTTATCCATCAGCCAATATTGTTGTTGTTGGTGACTTTAATGCTCATCACACTGGCTGGGTTCTAGTGTCAGTCACTCAATCTTTAACTCAAGTAGTCATAAATAATAATAAACATAAAAAATAATAAACTTTCTAGATCATCTGAATCAATTAGCTTCTCTTCTCGATCTATCTCTCGTTTCTGATCCTAGTCAGAGCTCAGTTTCTCCACATTCACCCTTAGATGATTCTGATCACACTTTGATTTCTCTAAAACTATTATTTCATTTTTCTTCATCATCAAAATCCCCCAATCATTGTATTTTGAAGCTGACTGGGACACTTTCCGTAATTTTCTTCGCGATGGTCTTTGGGTAGAAGTCTTCCTCCTGACAAATATGCTTCTTACATAACTTTGTTGATACATGCTGGCATAGAATCTTTTATTTCCTCTCGAGAATTTCAAGTCAAGTCTCACTCTCCATGGTTTTCCTCACATTATGATGCTGCAATTTTCAATCGAAACCGTTACTTGCATATCTATTAGCAAAAAAATACTCCAGAAAACAGACGATTCTTTATTATTGCTAGAAACCATTGTAAAAAGGTTTTGTCTAACACCAAAACTTGCTACTATCAGGTCATAAAATCTCGTATTTCATCACAAAAATTAGGCTTTCGTTACTTCTGGAGAATCTTTAACAGTACCAATAATAAGGTAAAATCTGTTATTCCACCTCTTTTGTATGGTTCAGACTTTGTCACCACATTTAAAAAAAAAGCTAAATTGTTTGCTTAGAACTTTTCATCAGTATCTTCACTTGATTCCACTAGTTGCGTTCTACCTAATAGAGCCATCAAATAGGTTGGTCGATTGCGTGACATTTGTATC